TATAAAGCAAGGAATGTATTAATTTTACATTGATGTTTATTTTAGATTCTGAGTCGAATGAGAAGAAGGTTATGGTTTTAGAAAGATGTTTATCTGTGCGCAACTTTTCTACCAGAAGACTTGCTTGGATTTCTAAGTGTAGCACTTTTTCTGAAAGAAAATTGTAGTAAGAAGGTGCTTTGAGAAGGCCATTTTTTGATTTTCCCAGTAGTTTTCCCAATAAATGGGAACAACTGCAAAAAACGGGAAAATAAACGAATGTATGAATAAAATATTTCGGTTTTTTTTTCTGTGAACAAGTTTTCTACTAGCAATTTTGCACCGATTTACAATGATAACATTTTTTCTAAAAGCAAATCGGACTGAGAGAGGTAATTTTTTTTTTATTTTATGATTTTACTAAAATATAACTTAAATGTTATATGTTGTTGAAAAAAAAAACACTATTAATCGTAGTCTGTTTAGAATCGTTTTTGTTAGCAATAGCTGATCATCGCGTACATATTAGGTACATTAAAGTCTCTACCTTTCCAACTTCTTACCTACAACAGCGGCCCACTTACGTGTGAATTTTAGTATTTTTTTTTATAAACATCACCAAGTTATTGGGATAGTTAAATCCTGAACGTTGGATTATTTTTATAGCAAAGAAAAAAATATAAATTTAAAAATAAAATTTTGAATCAGGGGCTCCGAGAAATCTTTTGCACACCGTGCACCAGTCCTTAATAAAAATATACAATTATATACGCGATGCCATTGGTTAAACATAATTTTAAGTCCTATAATAACGGTGCCCCAAATCCCGCAAATTGTTAGGACGGCCCTACCTGCGAGCAATAGCTATAAATAGCATGTAAGGGGCACAATAACAAGAATTTAATAATATATAATATACAATACACCCGATACCAAATCAAATCTAAATGTAAGATAAACAAGACAATTGTGGTTACAAATTTGTAATTCTCTTACGATGATCAAGTGATTTTCAAATTGATCAAAGATTTTAAGTGATATTTGTTTAGATTTTTTTGATCAATATAAATTAAAATTAGACCGAAGCAGTTTTCGTCTAAAAGTTGATACGACATTTTTTACCTTTTCGTATTCCTCTAATATAAATTGTCTACTGTTATAATCCATAAATAGTATATTTGATGATAATGATTAGAATGATTAGAAACTTGGTTGAAAATGTGGATTTGAAAATATTGTATATATTATACGGAATTAAGGTAAAATTCTAAACATATTTTTAAAATGATTATTAAATACAATTTTACAAAAATTGAAAATAAACATCAAAATCAATCAAACTCTTCATATAATATTAAACAATAATCACTGGATTGGGTATATTATACATCTTATATAGGTATTATAGTATTTTTTATGATAAAAATATAATTATAGATCTATTCAATATCTTATACAATCATATTAATTTGCTATCGATAGAAAATGATAACAATAGTAATAGACAATAATATACAATTTAAAGAATTGTCATCGATTTATAATTATCAATATATCCTGTAACATGATATACTTGAGTATGAAGCAAGTATAAACACAAAGTTTTTCAAAAACGAATTTCATAATAAATTTTGTTTGAAATATATCTATAATACTGTTTTGTGAAAATTGTAAATAAACATGGTTATTTTGTTTCAGATTTATCGATCACTTCTAATTTTGGTAAAGTTTAATAAAATACTCGTGTGGCTTGCACAAATCATTGGCCAATTAGGATTACTTTATAAAAAAAAAGTACAAAATTCGAGAATAAAACCCGCAGAGACTGCTCAGATAAGTTTATATGATTATATTATAGCATTGCTAATTAAACGGTTTTTACTCTATTAGTCGGTTTATAATTTGATTAATGGAATACACTATAACATACGTTGCGATCGGCGGGGACCAAATTCTGTGCATAGAAATTACGGTTTTTACAATGCTGTTATAATATTAACACGCCGGAAACACAAGTTTATAGTTTTAATCAAGTTAAGATAAGTTAAGTTATGGTTAAATGACCAAAAATAGAACAAAAGTAAATTTTTCGAAAATTCTCCGGTAGAAACGCGGTACCTAGAAACGAAAAATCATGCGTGTCAAAACATATTATTAGTTTCACTCGGTTGGTTTTTTTTTCAGCAATTTCTTCACATTTTCGGACGTTTTAATATTAAACATCACTATATATATCTTATCATAAGGAACATATTATAATAAAACTATAATATTATATCCGACGTCCAACGTCACGAAGATCGATATTGACGTGTTCAAAGACCGAAAACGTTCGGTGGAAATAAAACGAAAAGTCAAAAAATAAAAATGTATACAAATATAGCACAGAAAAAATACACAGCATCATTTATTCATTAATTCACTAACTCATTCATTCCGTGGTGTATTATTCGGAGACAGTCGATTGCGTACCACTGTTAGATAAACGAAAAATTGAGTATGTCTTGTCGAAATTTTTATTGCGTCCCGTTTGGACCTTTTTTACTATTCTTGAGTTTCGATTAAATCCGGTGATTACCATTATTATACTAGAAGATAAATTATAGGTAGATTGGAAAAAAATTACATATAGTTACTATTAAATAGTATCATTATTTATTTGTTATAACAATTATTCGCAATATAACATTAAGCATTACAATAAACAATTTTTAAAAATTGCACACAATTATATTTATAATAAAACAAAACCTACATTTTACATATTGATACATTGTAATTATTTTCATTATTATAATTAGCACATTAATTTTATTTTCGAATTTGTTTACATAACATGTAAGGAATTTAAAATTTACAAACACACATTTGTTAGTTATAAATAGATAATTATTATTACTTAGAGTCAATATTTATAATTATAGTATTATTAAAAAGAAAATGTTTTAAATTACATTTGTTTCATATAGTCTAGATAGTATATAATATAATTTATTAAATTATTGGTTTGATTTTCGATAAATTCTTGTTTAGATTCTAAGTGGAGAGAGAAATATGTTGGTTTTACAATGATGCTTAAATTTTTGTTTTTTTTTTTTCTGTGTAAAACTTTTCTATCAAAAATCTTACTCCAATTTCCAAGTATAGCACTTTTTCTTAAAGGAAATCTGACTGAGAAGAAAATCGGAAGGTTCGGAGCAAAATTTCTGTTAGAAAAGTTGTCACAGAGAAAAAAAAGGCCAAAATATTGTTCAATTAACACCTACATTTTGTAAATTTTCCGGTTTTTCCTTCATTTGTTGAGAAAAATCCTGGGAAAATCAAAAACAACATCCTTAAAGTACCTTTCCAGTTAGATTACCTTTTAGAAAAAGTGCTATTAATGTAAATCGAAGCAAAATTGTAGGTAAAATAGTTGTCTACGGAAAAAAAAAACTTAATATTATACTAATCTATTTTATATACTTTCCGTTTTTATATAAATAACATCATTCAACCTTTTTTGTAGTAGTACTTGTGTATTACTCTAAATATTAACATTACTTTGATTGATTATTCGCAAAAAAAGTTGCTTATTATTAAAATCTTGACATTTAAAAATAAACTTTACTGATTTGGTTGTCCTCCATTTAACAAAAAAAGACATCCTAAGATAATGGAGATGGGTGCAACTACTGTTATGGATAATTTAATGTATACTATTAAGCAACGATAAACCATTACTTACAAAAAAACGATTGTGAGCAGAGTTCAGTTGATAGTGATGTTTTGTCAACAATATATATGTCATTTATAGTAAAATAATTAAACAGGTTTAATAATATATTTTCTTAAATAATATTTGTTTAATGTTGTACCGATTTATCCGGTTTTCCTATGTTTTTTCCCAGTTTTTAACTCTAGATACCTTAGGGGATATCATGGGAATCATCACACCGATTTCCTTTCAGAAAAGTTGCTACACGTAAAAACCGGAGTAAGTCCTATGGTAGAAAAGTAGTCCATAGAAAAAAAAAATAAACATCTTTGTAAAACCATAAGCTTCTTCGCTCCACTCAGAATCTAAAAGTTTTTATTATTCCTATACAGAATGTTCCATTTATATTGGTAAACTCATTTATTGAAAAAGAGTTTTTTTAGAATTTATTTTATAGGACATTTATAAAACAAACAGCTCTATAATTTTACAATGTTTTTTTGTGCTACCCTTATTTTTAGTGTTAAAAACTATTACCTACTTTTTATTTTAAAATGGCAACTTTTCTAATACACAATCCTCATAACCTCATCAATGGATTGACAAATCAAAAATTTCAACAAGACATTTTTTTAAACTTAATACTTTATCAATTTATGGAACTTTAAAATTGTCATTTTAAAACTAAAAGTATGTAGAGGTTTTTAAATTTAAAAGTAATTATAGAATAAAAATCGATACTCCATAATATTTTTCAGGATTATTATTTTGTACGTTTATTATATTTACTAAGTACTTGTCTATTTTTAATTATCGGTACATCTATTGTCAATATTGAATTTGTCAGTAATTTTTTCGGCAGCTAAATGTGAAAAATGACTCCAACATTTTTCTGAGTATGTTTTCTATAACTTTTTGACTAGATCAAAGTATCTTGTTGGAACTGTTTTGATAGTGAAACTCTAAGTACAAATAATTTGGAAATAGTAACTAACGTAGTTATAAATTCTGGTTGGAAAATTGAAATTCGAAAAGTGCTACCTTGATTCGACGTGTATGATCCCACTCGCAAAATTCTTCAAGAGTTTCTTTTACACACTTAAATAGTTTTAAAAAATTACTTACTGAATAATATTAAGTTTCACAATTGCTTTTTAATGATTTTTTAAAAATAGCTTTCGATAGCTTTCAATAGTACAGATTTTCCTACCGTTTCCATTTAGTTGTTTATTTATAGAAATCCTTACATGATACCTATACAGCAAGATCAAAGAATGAGTGGAACAATATACGTATACAGCTAAAGGAGATTAGGTTAGTGTTAGGTTAGTTATTTTTTTATATAAGCTTAAGTTCCATAATATTTCCTGGCCATCGATCCTTCACCATCATACACTTGACTTTGAAGATATTGTGTATCAATATCAAATTTTCTGAGATTTTCAGAATAATGTATAAGTTAGGTTAAGTTTGGTTGGGTTAAGTTAGGGGTGGCGGGTATACACGCTGGAGCTGCCATTAGCGGCGGATTGGGGCCGGCTCGTGAAGAGGGGTTCTACCCGAAGCAGAAGTCATATCTATTGTTTTCTTTTCTTTTTGTATTGTATATATTGTTAATTGTTTGATGGATCACTGAACCCTTATGTGATAAAGCGTCGATTCAATGAGTTTGAAAAAAAAAAATTAGTTTAGATTAGGTGTATAAGTCTTGATAAAGCCTTTCTAGATACATCAGTTGTTCGGATAAACTATAGATATTATTCGTGTAATTCAAAGGATTTTAAACCAATATGATTAGGTATCTGCAGTTTTTTCAATAAGAACTGTAAAAATTTGACTCCATTTACTTAGATTACTGTTTTATGAGTAAAACTGAATTGCACGATTCAATTTTACTAATACGACTTGTGTATTTTATAGTGCCAGAACTTTCAAAATGTTTTGTTTTTATTTTTTAGTGATGCATCACTTCAAGCTTTAAAGCATAACAAATTACGAGAATATCCATATTTAACATCAGTATTATCAACGGTTCATTTTCCGAAATTGTGACGAATTCGCAGCGGTATATTTTGTAACTGCATAAAATAATTGTTATAATAACAAGTTAAATAATTATTTCTTTCTCAATTTCGTTCAAGAGTAAAATTTGCTATCGTAAAATCCGGACAAAATAGTTCCCTCTCATAATAATAATAATAACAATATTTCCCAAGCCTTTAATACGCGCGTATACTATTATTATTATATTAAAACACCTATATACCGTCGTCGTCGTTATGTTATTATTATGTCGTTCGGCACACGTATCTTCTAGTCATATATATAATACGAGTATAAGCTTTTATCACTCGATCTGAAAGCTTTCAAACAAACCTTAACGCCACGTGCCACCACTCCGCATCCGTGATAATATACGTGCGCACGCATCGTGTCAATTTACCGCAAATAAACGGTAAGTATATATAATAATAATAATATACCTAAACCATAATATATATGCATATATATATATATATATATATATATATATGTATGCACAGGATGTCCAAGATGATCTAACATTTAAAATAGCATTTGTTTTATTCAATATTTGTTTAAATAATTAATATCCTTCAGCGCTTCATTTAAAAGAAGTAGGTATAACATTTATATTTTTATGTTGGGGAATTTAAAATTTAAAAAAATACGGATATAATTCGCAAGATGGGTACCCCTAGTAGGTGAGAAGTTGGGAAGGTAGGATATATTGGGAAATTTAATGTTTATCTGTATGCAACGATTAATCATTGGTAACGAAGACGATTTTTAGCGGAGTTTGGTTTAACATTTTGAAAGGTTGTAATATTTACGATTTTCATCAAAATTGTTGATATTAAAATTCTTATAAAAACAAATCTACATAATACTCAATTTATTTTTTTGGCTACAAAATACGATTTTTAATGAATCTCCTGTTAAATGTTCACGCATTTCTATTTGATCTAAAAATGTTATCCACGGAGTACCTACCGAATAATAATTAAGTAAAAACTTGCAAAGTTAAAATATCTACAAATATAAGTTTTCTATACAAATTTCAAGTCTTTACGAAAATTTCTAACTGAATTACAACAAATAACAAAATTGAAAATAATACATTTCGTAAATTTTCTCGTTTTTCCGACTTTAATTCCCAATTATTATGAAAATAGCTTAGAAAATCAAAAAATGACGTCCTTAAAGTACTATATCCTGATAAAATTTTCTTTCAGAAAAGATATTATACTTGAAAATCAGAGCAAGATTTTTGGTAAACAATTTGTTCACAGATATAAAGAGAGGTTCTAGGATAATGGGGTCGGGTGCAGCCACTGTTATGGATAATTTAATGTATACCTGTAAGCAATGGTTTATCGTTGCTTACATTCAAAAAACTACTCTGAGTTGATAGTTATGCTTTGTCAACAATTTATATGTCATTTTATAGTAAAATAATTAGCTAATAAAATAAAATAAAATAGTAGAATAAAAATAAAATTATTAAAATGGTTAATACTCGTAAATAAATAAAGTTGTATATTTATTTACTTTATTACTTTATTACTAAGTATATTACAGCCAAAATGTAAAACGCAACTGAATATAAAGAATTAAATGAAGGAATACAGAGTAAAAAAAAAAAATTATACAAATCGGTCGTTTAACATAGAATATAAAAATAATTTATTTTAATAGAAGAGGTTATTTAAAATTAGTTATTATTAGATAAATATATGTTAAGTAATATAAATAATTTGGTTATTATTTGTATTATACACCTGATGATGAATTTTTAATTCGAAACCAGTCGTATAATAACACTTATCATAATAACACAACATAATATCATAAAACTTATATTTAGGTATAGTCTTTTATTTTCTAAAATTGTTTGAAGTTTTTGTTAATGTGAATATTATATTGTGGTTTGTAATCTATTATAATGTTTACATTTGCAAAAACTTCAAAAAATTGTTGAAAACCTTCCCTAAATCTTATTTGAAAATCAATAATATATATATATATATATATCGATTTAAGGTATATGGAAAAAGGAAAAAATTTAAAAAGATTTTTGAATAAAGCTTAAAAGATTTTACAATGATTGAAAGAAAAATAAATATCAAATTCATTTTAAATCCTGTGAAAAAATTGCTGGTTCGTGATTATTTGATTGCTCTGTATGTATAATATATATTATACATAGATATACATTGTATATATATGTAGAGAGAATATCCATAGATATAATATATGTAAATAGATACCTGTATTTATAATGCATCCATCATTGTAAACAAATCATTTTGAGCGCGAATAAACCGCTTTCATCTCACTCGGACAGAAAACCGTCGCGGTTTATTACGCACGCATATACCGCGGAGTATGTGTAGATATAGCTAGATGCTGTTGGTGTTGCACGAGAAATAGAGAGAGAGAGAAAGAATGAGAGAGAGAGAAAGAAAGAGTGAGAGAGAGATCCGGTTCTTATTGTATAAAAGAAAAAGTATATCAACATCGACTTAAATATACACGCGTTTACATAACCACACGCTAAATCGATAAAAAAAAAAAATATATGCATAGGTATGTAAGTAAATAATGTACAACCCGTGTTGTATTAATTTACGTTTTTGAAATATCTAGATAAAGATAAATGATAATTGCTAGAATAGTTATCCATGAATGAAGATAAGAGATACATAAAACAATTGAATCATCTATAGACGAGAGAAAAATAGATGAAACAAAAAAAAAAAAAATAACAATAATACGAGTAATTCTGTAAAGGTAAAAGTGAACGAAATTTGGTGCACATTTGGATTTTAATATGGTTGTGCAATTGATGAAACTTCATAATTTATTTATTAAACTATTATTATATAAATTAATAGACCATGTATGTGAAAAAGTGTATAAAAGATCAAAAAGTCACATTTTGTTAAATATGTACAGAAGATGTAAATTTTGTAGAAAATTTCATGATGAGCAACACTGAAATTTTTCTCTATTCCTTTTAATATCACGCAATCAACATAGCTATTTTAGCGTAGTATACAGAGTGTATCATTTGACATTTTTACACGTAACTCTAATGTAAAAATGTCAAATAGTCCTATTACATCCTTTATATAAACCTACAATGAATTATTTAGTATTTTAATCTCCTGAAATAAAATCAAACTTAGTGGAAAGCGGGGCAAATTGATTGGTTGGGTTTTAAATACGTGTCATGGAATTTAGTGGTGATTTAAGATATTTATAAATATATGAATGATATGATGTAAATTATAGTTGTACAAATTATTGTTTAATAACATATGAACTTCTGTTATCATTTGTTTGTTTTTCGCATTAAAATAAAAATTAGGCCCACACTCAATAAGCCTTCTGCAATAAATCAAGTAAGTAATTATAATTATTTTTGTATGTGTATAGTGGTAGTTGTTAGCAATATATTATAATAGCATGTATGTAAAATTTTATTTTACTCTAGGTTTAAATGTGTTTAAATGTATTCAAAATTATATGCTGAAGCAAACTGATTGGGGTAAGATAATGAACCTGAAAAATTGCCACTATCTTCTTCTTTACTATAAAATATTAATATTTGAAGTTAATAAAAAAGTAATATTAATTAGGAATATGTTTTTAACTTCATAATAACTTTAAGTTCCGTATAAATATAATGTGATAATAGCCTAGGTCCCCATTTAATAATGAGTTAAATTGTTTATAAATTGAGTTAAGAATTAAGTTAAGTTTGACTAAAGTCAAATTATGTTAACCAAGTTGAGTTAAGTACCTAGTATTAGAACATATTTAAATATTACACTTGAAATGTACCTATGAAAATTATTCAACAGAAACCACACAATAGTGAACTTGCTCCATTGCAATAACATCTTGCCAGATGGCTGGGGCAAGATAATGAAATATTTATATATTTTTAGATAATTAAAAATAAAAATAAATATATATTACTATACCACACAATTATCATTAAATTATCTGTAAAAAAAAAAAAAAACATCAAGCCACTAGTTTTAGCTAGATAATTATTAAAAACTTGCCCTGCTCTCCCCCTATATACTTTTTTGTAGAGGTCGTTTAATTATTTGATCTCATATTTCTAAAAAAAATCTATACAAATATTACGATTTATCTAGAGGATTCAACAATTAATTTTAAATACAGCTCAGATAACTTAATTTCTCATTTATCTTGAAAAGATAAAAAATACAAATATACCTAAATAGAAAAAAAAACAACAATAGAATAATTGCAATACGAGTACATGTTTCGTCATTTCCTTGGATTTTATAATAATATATAAATATATATATTTTTTTTTTTAAGGGAGAGGGGATATTAGAGATCATTTTTGAAATTAAAATTAGAATCTATATTCAATATTACATAAATAGACGGAATGTTATTTTACATAAATGTTGGTGTTGACATTTTTAATTTCCATCAATCCGTTGACGAGATATTCTACTTTATGGTAGTGGGAGAGTA